GTACAGGTGTATGATCTGTCATGTAGAACAGCTATGTGTTTGCTGAACTGCACACAAAGCTGCATTATTTAGCCAGTTGTTGGTGCTATTTTTTTTTTTTTTTTAAATATTCCCCGTTGAAAACTGACAGAAGGCCCCATGTCTTTTATATTAAAACTGTCTCTGGGTATTTTGCCGTTTCACCTGGATGTGCATTTTGTATCTGCCACAGGAGCCCCTGTATTGATTCAAACAGATACCAAATGATGAAAGACACCTTCTTATTACCTAAGATGCGTCAGATTAGCCAGCTTCTTTCGCTGCACACAGCTCGAAAGCCTTCTAACAGTGTGATCCATATAAGCATATCAACTGCTTCTATGCAGTAAGTGCAAAAAAGCTTGAGAAATACACTGATATCGATGGCTTATCAAAACTCAAGGATACAGCGTACAATAGGGTGACTTCTTGAAGGCATTGAAAAGTTAAGCAGGTCTTGGTCAGTAAAATGTCAAATGACACAGCATTGCATTTATTCTAAAATCTTTTGTTTGAAATGTCGTTAAGCACTACATTAACTCCTCTTTGATGTTGGGGGATTTGTAGGCCCTGACTTCCAATGCAATTCCCTCCAACACATGTTCTATTATTACACAAACACTTCTCTTCATCTACCTCATCAAGTCTCTAGAATTGATCTTGATGCAGAGATAACCGAACATTGAAAATAGACAGCGAAGGTTGAAATGAGTCAGAGAAACCGCAATGAACTACAAAAGTCACCAATATATACCCCAGGATCCTCTCCTACAGTGCACTGGTGTAGGTAGTTATAGTAGATGCCCGAATAGAAAGATGGGCCCTGATTAGTCAGACTGGGGAAATACATGGCTAAACACTTTCAGATAAAACATGTTCTGAGCAAATATGCCGATAATTCGACTCGGTTGAATTAAACATCACATATTCCTTTCACTGATTCATGTCCACATTCGACTCCAACCCGGGAGTATGAAGCACATAGGACTAGTTCACTGACAGAATCAACTCAATAGACTGGGAGGGGGGGGGGGGGGGGGTCGGTCGAGGAGAACTAGGCAGTGTATTGCAGGATGAATAAAAAATGAAAGTGTAGTGCTTCAGTAAATTCGCTCTCTCCATCCCGTGAGGAGGGGGAGGGGGAGGGGGTGCTGGTGGAGTAGAGGCTTGTTTGAAAACGGAATGCTGCATTCCCACATCCACCCATATCCAGCAAGGGGCTCTTTAAAAATTCATTAATTTACAGCAAAAATAGATTAAAGCACCCAGCTGAGCAAAACTCAAAATGTGGCTCCGGAATAACATTAATGATAAAACATCTCCATCAAGCCTGGGGGGGGTTGCCTGAAGAAAGAGTACTGGCTTCTTTCACCTTACAGCACCTTGAGAATAATTTATTTTCAATCATTACTAAAATAATGCATTTCTAATTGTCATTTTTAATTACGCTTTTCTTGGGATGGGAAAAAAAGGGGCAGAGGAGAAACCTGCATAAACTAATTATAATCCATCCAAGGATCTGCCATTCCCATGATGCCATGCCAATGTCATTCTATTCACCATTTGATATCTCAGCTACAGAGACTCAATGACAGCTGCTCCAGGCTCCCCAAAAACGCAGAGAACTGCAGTTACAGTAATTGCTCTGGCCAGCACTAAATGAGGTTCACTTAAGTGCAATTATCCCCCTCTGATCTCTCACATAAAGAGACTTCTTTAACATGGAGAAGTGGGCTCACACAATGTGACTGCAAACAAGATTCAAATTGGAATCAGGGAGGCATTTCCAGCAGATGAATGGCTTCATAGCTCATCTGCATTCTAGTGATGCACAGCATTGCTAATGAAGACTGAGCCAGACCTTTCTCCCCAACACAGCGAGAACAAAACCTCCCACTGGATATAAAAGCACAATGCGGGGAGACATCTCTAACAAATGTGTCCAGTCATTTGGCCTGGGCTGCATTAGAGGTCACCTAGCCTCCATGCAGAGTTAACAGCAGTTGCAAAAGAAAAAAAAAGATCCAGTGTTGTTTTGCCCAATCCAAGGGGAAAATGCACTTGATGATGGGCGATGAGGTAAAACGAAAGAAACCCCCCAACCTGAAATAACGCTACATTTCACAGCAGAGAGGAATTGATGTTACTTTGGATTGAGACCAAAAATAAATGTAAAAAAAACTAGAGAGAGGGCTTTGAACAACAGCATCACGGCTACACATTGCCAAAAAATAGAAATTTCAGACGTCCTCATGAATAAATTGCCATCTGCCAATGGCTTCACACAATAGGTTTTCAGCCTAAAGGGTTAAGATGTGGCAGGTCTAATAGGGGTTGCTACAGAGAGTACCTGTTGGGTGCAGTCCAACAACACAGGGTGGTGGGGGGGGGGGCTGTGATGGGCGTTCATATTGCCACAGGCGGAACTACCACCAGGAGTCTGATAACTGCATCTCACGGATGGCCATTTGAATAATCACTTCAACAAGGGGAGAAATTAAAAAGCCTCTCAGTGAGAAGGGGCTAGGGACCGGGCCACATGCTGAATTCCAAATGAGGAGCTTTTCCAATGTAAAACTGTTCTGAAGTCCCTCTACTATACTAGCACGCTGACCCTTGCCACCCATCCAAATGAGCTTCATATCATGCCACTATTCTATTAAATATATGAATTATACTCTCACCTTACAGACGATGAAAGAGTATTTTTTTATTCAGGGACGATAGATGCATGTTCTTACTGGCGCCATACACAAAACACAGGAAGACCTGGAGACAAAGGTGTTTTTAAACCATTAGGCAAAAGACTGCTCAGAGCACTGCAGGCCAAAACCAGCATTAAAGAGAGGCTGCATCACATCCTCCCATCCACACTTTTAAATGGTTACTGTAAGGATAAACAGATGTGTGATCTTCTCTATGCTATATCCTCCACTGTTTCATCCACTAATCCAACAAATGTTTTAAAGCAGGTGACCCATACAAATGTAAAAAGGTAACACTGTTCAATTTAATTTGATGAGAATAGCACATAGCCACTACTACAGCGGCTTAAAGCGGACCGAAAACATGCCAAATCTAGCCTTTAAGTCAAAACACCTCGAGTCATGATCAAAACTGAATGATTACATAGCTAATGGAATTGAAAGTATGTTATAAGTCTAATGAACAAATTCTAAAAAAGGTCTGTGGGCCGGTATTCATGTTTCTGCACACAGTATGTAAAGGAAAGCCAGCAGCGGCTGCAGTCCAGGTCTATTGTCTTACAGCCAGGCAGCATACAACAGCAACATGTCACTTCCGATGTCCACGCCAATTATTCCACTGCAGCGTTTCACATAGTTGTTTCAGTAGACATTATTGCTTGTAAAACACTCTGAATTTCATGATGACATCAACGATTTAGACATTTCCTGTGAAGGAGCTGGGATGTCTTTTCATGTTATACGGAGCTAGGGACCCTGTAACAAAATGCCAATTCATATAAACTGCACATGGAGCTTTACAGAGAACAGCAGTAGGACAATTCAAAGAATAAGACAGAACAACCAGGTACTAGAAAATAATATATATAAAGCTACTCTGGCTCTGCTTACCTGTCCGGGGGAACATGACAACTCAAACACCATGTGTCTTTCTAAAGCTGCATGCACAGATATTCTGATCCAGACAGCTCGCTGTAGGCCTGCTATTTAAAGGATGGGTGATTAAGCAAACCAGGTCTGACCTTTCATTGTGGGAGCTGACTAACGCTATGGGCATTTTGTTAGTTGAAGCAAAACGTCTGGCAGGGTTAGGTTATTTTGGGGGAATTTATAATGGTTTGTTTTAGTCATAAATTGAATAAAATTGGGAGTATGATGTGATAATGTTCTCAGTCGGTTCAGTCGCTAAAACAACAACGTGACTTCATTGATAAAACGTGCACAATTTGACAGCGGGGCATATTAAGAGTTCAGTCATCCATCGTCTAATAAAGGCCGTTAGGAGAAAGCAAGGGCACCGTTTTGTATACAGCTGCACGCAAATGCCACAGCTATTTAGTTTAAAGTCGTAGCGTTAACTAATCAGTGCATCACACACCAACTGGTGAAACATCATAGCAGGGAGACATGCCCTGAGAGATGCAGGTCCAAATGTTAAACTGCAACACATTCTGTACCATCTCAGGGCAATCCACAAGGGTATGCCACCAGAGGCAAAGACACAGTCCGAGGTTACATTCAGTTGCAGACAATTCACCTGAAATATGCTTTGCACTTGTTGATTGTCCAGCCACATGACAGACCTGCGCCTTCTCATAAAGATCGACTAGTTTTCCATACGAAGATCATTATTTTCTAGAGGAATTTTCCAGCCGCCCGAGAAACTGACGATTGACAGACGAGAAAACATACTGCAACAGCTGTGAGTCAAATACCATCAGAGCATGCAGGAAAGGCAAATGACACTAGGTTTATACACACACACACAGTCACACACAGTCAGTCACACAGTCACACAAACAAAAAAAGCTAGCTAACGATAGCTGTTGGAGGGCTGAGATAGGTCATTATATCCACCTATTGCGAGGGGGAAACACACGCACACACCTAGTCCTGGCCCAGGAGAAAACACCGACAACGCTCAGCTAAAGTTAGCTGGCTACCAAAACTGGCTAGCTAGCTGTCAAAGTTGCCCTGTCAGTTGTCACCGGTTGCACGGCGGTGCTAGCAGCGGGCTAACGCCAGAGCTGTCAACTTGGAGAGTTACATCAACACGGCCGGGGTGTACTAACACTGACCACGGGGAAACACGGACTGCCTCTCTGAGAAAAAAGGTGTCCCCCGCACCGCACGCCCCGCCAAGGCGAGCGGAAAGCCGTGTGCCAAGGCCTGTTCCCCGGGCTCAATCCCCACAACTTCAGTGCAGCTCACTTCCCCGCTAAAGTCGTCCATTTCGTGGGCCTTAGTTCAACTTCCATGCCCGTGTAGCTCACTTACTCTGGGTGAAAGCTTGCTGTGACGGCGGCTGTCTGTTAAATCCTGTCGGTAGTTTGAGAGTAACTGCCCCCTCCCCTTCCTTCCACCTTCTCTTCTTCTTCTTCTTCTTCAGCTCGCAGGGGCTCCCCAGGAGGGTCCTGTGTTCTTGACGTTACCGTCCTGTGCAAAAGAAGCGCTGTAGCCTTAGCTTCACCGGTGAGCCCGCGGTGCCGTGGTGTCCCTCTTCAGCTACTCTCCGCCTTCTCCCGTTCGCCTTTCTCTCGGCGGCCGAGCCAACATCCGGGACTCTCCCCCCCGTTTGGTAAGTGCCCGGAACTACTTTCCCATACGACGACGCACATGAAGGTTTATTTTCTCCCTCTCTAACCACCCCTGCCGCCACAGAAACTAGCGCGCGGTGTACGCACGAGCCCCAGACAGTGTTGTAAAGTAACTATGTAGATTTACTAATCTACTGTAATTAAGTACAAATCTGAGGTACTACTACTTTACTTAGGTATTTCAATTGTGTTGCTACTTTGTACTCCTGCCCCACTATAAATTAAGAGGCAAATAGTGTACTATTACTATTATTATTTGTTACTTTGTAGATATGGATCAATGATTAAAAAACAAACACTTAATTAAACTTGAGTTACACCTAGATTAAATTCACATGCTACCCATAATTAAAAATGGTTTCACTTTAACAAGCTTGATAAAAACATTAATACATAAAAAAGAAAACATATATGATTCTGAAATGGGCCAATCTGCATAATGAGTACTTTTACTTTTGGAACTTTAAGTACATTTAGATGCCAATACTTTAGTACTTTTACTTGAGTAACATTTTGAATGCAGGACTTTTATTTGTAACAGAGTAATCATACACTTAAATAGTGCAAGATCTGAGAACTTGTTCCACCAAACACGCGCTTGTCTATCAACAGTGTTAGAGAAGTACTCAGATATATAAGTAATAGTGATACCAAAGTGTATAAATACTTAGTTACAAAAAAAGTCCTGCATTCATAATCAAGTTAAACTAGGCCTATATCAAAATATTAGAAACAAAGTAATAATTGTGCATATATATTTTTAGACTTATTTAATATAATTAGATTATAATTATTGAATCCCTTTATTGTAATAGACGGTGAACGAATGTTACTGTATGTATACTGCTTTGTAGAATATATTATGATAGACACTACATTATAAGTTGATTTGTAATTTATTAGCAATCCGATTATGTAAAGAAACTAAAGTTATTAAATAATTGCAGTGGAGTAGAAAGTACATTATTTGCTTCAGAGATGTTATGGAGTATAATTATAAAATAGCAGCAATTTGAAATAATCAATAGGCAACATTTCAAGTGCCTCAAAATTATATTTAAGGACTCAAGTAAATGTACTAGGTTGCACTTCACCAGATCCTATCAATAAATCTATTGATTAAAAAAAGTGCTTTATTTAAAGGAGCATTGTAACTGAATATAACCCAACACGGTTAATATCTTAGGACATAACCTTTTTAATAAAGAAGGAAGAAGCACACAAGTTAAAACAATGTTACAGAATAAAGGCAAATAAGTCCACATGGGGGCCACTGTGCAATGAGTCACCTCTTATAAAAGGTTTTACAAGTTATAATTAAAGGCTAATAAATCATTTACATTTTCCAGTTACAAGCCAGGAGAACTTTTGGGTTGTCAGGTTTGTTAAAACGTTCTGTGACTGGTGTCCTTCATGGTACAATGCATATTAAAGTGTATTAGATGATGTTAAAATATGAATACGTTACTTGAGGTGCTCACACTTTCTAATAAGTGAAATTGAAGTCTGCAGTTATACGTGTAAGTGTCATGGTGACTATCTGATCATGGGTTTTTTCTTTCTTCATAATATAATTCTAGCCTTAATCTAACAACCAAAATCTTTGTGAACCACTGTGGTTTTTCTGATTAAATAAAAGCCATGCTCCACTGGCAGATAAACAGCTTAGAAGGATTTATTTTTAATTTGACCACCTGGCTACCTAAAAGGTGTTCCCTCATTAATCTATTTAATTGATCTGTCATTAGTGAAATCTTAGTTCATTGACCACTAATAAATCTATTAGTAATAACTTACAAACATTTTAATAACGGGAATTATCTTAAAGTTGTACAGATAAGAAAAAACATATACAGAAGCTGATAAAGGATTAAGTATTCTAGTCCATGATCTAAAAAGATCTCTAAACTATGCCATCCACTAAATGCAGTTTGAAAAAATGTCCTAGTTATTTTATTGCCTAAAAACAAAAACAATTAATTAAATAAGTTATATTTCCCTCACCATGTCTAACTCTTTATTGAACAGTGGAAACTGAATTCAAGGTAACTTAATACCTCATTACCGGATTAAAAACATATATTTTTGTCAAGGACATGACCATCTTTAATGGACTCACTGGACAGTGAGGTCTAGTGAGGTCTAGTGAGGTCTAGTGAGGTCTAGTGAGGTCTAGTGAGGTCTAGTGAGGTCTAGTGAGGTCTAGTGAGGTCTAGTGAGGTCTAGTGAGGTCTAGTGAGGTCTAGTGAGGTCTAGTGAGGTCTAGTGAGGTCTAGTGAGGTCTAGTGAGGTCTAGTGAGGTCATGCTAACCTGTCTTCATTTTGTTGTCTTATCTCCTATAATAGAGTTACAGGTTTTATTTTATACGTTCAGTTAAATTATCAATTTGTAATACTAGTAGGATATCTGGTGTATAAAATATGAAGTTAAAGTAAAGTAGCAGGGACAATGGATGTGTTATCTCTATTTATAGCCAATGTATCTTTGTAGTTGAATTTATATTCTACAATCTTATCTTTTCGTATTTTATTGACTTTTGGCCATTTTATATTTTGCCGTGGTGATTTTTTTTATAAAAGTAAACATGCATGTCCACAAATTGAGTGGAATCTAATCCAGTTGGACAAAATCAATCTACGCATTAACGAAAGCAGCCATGCTTAAGTGATGTGATCGACTCTTCAGCAGGGCAACAGCGCCTCCTGTGGGTCATTCAGGGAGCCTACAGCATTTATTTGTTCAAATGAAATTATAAAACACATTTCTTCCTTTTATGTAGCCTCTCTAGTGGGGACATGTTTCATTGTGTAAGGTAACAAGCAGTGGTGGAACAAGTATTCAGATCCATTACTTGAGTAAAAGTACCAATAAATTATTGCCAAAATACTTCATTACAAGTCAAAGTCATGCATTCAAAATCAGTAAAGTATTATCAGCCAAATGTACTTAAAGTATAAAGAGTAAAAGTAATTATTGTGCCAAAATATATATTTCTAGTAACATTTCTAGATAATATTGTTGCATCAAGGAGCATTTTACTGTTGTAGTCAAACAAAGTTCTGGTTTGCTTTTTTCGTAATCATTTGAGTATTTTCCCCTTTACAGTTCCTCATTATTGTACTTAAGTATAGTACTGGTGTAAATGTACTTAGTTACTTCCCACCTCTGGTTACAAGTCATATCCAGAATAAAACTAAATATAGGCCAAAGACATTAAAAAGAAAAAGGCCTAAATTAAAATGCCACATGACTACCAAATAGGCATCTGATTATTTTGTATAAAACAATAGTATGAATCTACAATATTGGACTATTGGCAAGAAGAAAGAAGTCTTACTGCATTTCATTTGTGTATCTGTAATTATAGATGTGAGTCATGAGTGATACTATAGAACTGTTCTAAAAAACTGATTTCCATAATACAAAACTTATCATAAATATAAAACAACCAGATCAGCAGCAACACTTCAAGATGTGTGTTGCCATTATGAAACTCACTGACTCAGAGGGTTAGTCAAGGTGAAAAGATCCGCTTTAAGAGAAATCCCTCTCTGCCCCATGGGAGTCTGTGTGTTGGTGATGTTAATTAATTAAGAGTAACACCTCATTGAAAGTGAGAATAGTAATTGACGCACGAGTCGACACTATTTAACCTGCGTGGGTGCAGTGCAGTTTACGGCCAATGGGGGCGCTGAAGGTTTTCTTCTCTGTTTTATTAAGAGCAACCAAATCAGCTCAGTGGTTTCAGGAAGTGCAGAAGTTGTTGTGAAGCTGACTGATATCAACATCGGAATCGAAAGTAGGGCATTTCGCAGTTTAGTGAGTATATTGTGGTAAAGCAAATGTGTTTTTTATTAAGGCTGTTGTCACGGTGGCAAATTACTGTCTAATAGCAAGCAGCGTGTGTAAAATGACTCACCACCTGTCATATTACTGATCATTTGCCGATACAATTCAGAAAACCTTGAATAGGCTGTGTGTCCTTCAGTGAATCAGCCGCCAGACGGTCAAGGTTCACCTGATAAGTTTACTGACTGTAGCATTTATGCATACTGTGATCAGAGAGGTGGAAGAAATATTCAGGTCCTTTGCTTTAGTAAAATTACTAATACCACTCTCTGAAATTACTCCACAAAAAGTCATGTATTATTCCTGTACACTACTTTACTATTGCACAAGTTTAATAACACAATCCAACTTTTAAAGCATGGTATTTAATTCCTGAATCTGCCAGTGAGACATTAATTTAACAGTAAGTTATGTTCATTCTACCAGTGATTATCTCCCATTTCTGCTTCTTTGTACTTCTACTCCACTACAATTATTTTATTTTTTTTATTTGGCCTTTATTTATACAGGTGTAGATCTCATTGAGACACAAGGTCTCATTTTCAAGAGAGACCTGTCAGTGGTAACACTACCACACAAAGTTACAGACAGACAGGACACTAAACACAGAGGCAACACTAAAATACAACATCGTCAAAAAGTAGTCATTAAAATCCATATACAGCAGTCAGATATAGCAGGTGCAAACACCCACAGATGATTTCTCCAGCTTTTTTAAAATGAGTTTAAAATACGTGATGGGTATCAAAGTGGTCAGCTTAAGTTCCTGCTGAAGTGTGTTCCAGGTCGAGGGGGCAGAGTATGATATGGCTTTTTTCCCAAGCACCGTGCGTACTGAGGGGACGGACAGAGTGATGTAATGTTGAGATCGTAGTCTATAGCTGTACTGTTTGTGTGATATATAAGTGGATATGTAGAGGGGCAGCAGTCCAAGCATAGCGGTATAGATGAGTTTGTACCAGTGCAGTGATCTGCGCATTGATAATGATGTCCAGTTGACTAAAGCGTACAGCGTGCAGTGGTGTGTGAGGGGTTTACAGTTGGTTCTGAACCTCAGAGCCCCATGGTAAACAGCGTCCAGCAGATGAAGGGAGTGAGCTGAGGCGTTCATGTACACAACATCCCCGTAGTCCAAGAGCGGCAAAAATGTGGCAGCTACAAGCCATTTCCTCGCACTTGTGGAGAAGCAGGCCTTATTTCTAAAAAAGAATCCCAGCTTTAATTTCAATTTCCTTAAAAGATTGTCAATGTGTGGTTTGAAGCAGAGATTTTCATCTATAGTGATGCCTAAGTATCTGTAGGTGTTAACAGCTTCAATGGGGTTATGCTGTGCAGACATGATGCAGGGAAGAACAGTTGGTAACTTTTTCTTATTGGAAAACAGCATGACTTTTGTCTTATCTGAATTTAACACCAACCTAAGGTGGAACAGATGTGACTGAAAAGTGTCAAAAGCAGACTGCAGACGTTCAAATGCAAGGGCAACAGTGCTAGCACAACAGTACACAACAGTATCATCTGCATATAGATGTACAGAGGCATCAATACTTTGACCCACATCATTTATATAAATAGTAAGAAAGGGTCGGTCCCAAGACCGAACCTTGAGGAACGCCTCTGGGCACATTAAGAAAGCTTGAGGAGAGACCGCTGAATTTTACACATTGCTTGCGATTTGAAAGATAGTTTGCAAACCAACCAACAGCTTGGTCAGACAGGCCTATATGGGATAACTTCTGGCATAGAATGCCATGGTCCACAGTATCAAATGCCTTGGATAAGTCTATAAAAAGGGCAGCACAGTAGCTCTTTGCGTCCAAGCCTTCAACAATGTCATTCACTACTTTAAAGCAGCCGTTACTGTACTGTGCTGCTTCCTAAAGCCTGACTGGTGAGGAGATAGAATGTTGTTCAAGCTTAAATATTCTTTGATTTGATCATTCACCAGCCTTTCAAGTTCTTTAGCTAAAATAGAGAGCTTGGAAATTGGTCTGTAATTATTCATCACCATGGGATCACCACCTTTCAATAAGGGGAGAACATTTGCAGTTTTCCAAACATCTGGAATGACATTGCTTGTTATAGAAAGATTAAAAACATGACAAAGTGGTTTGGCTATAATATCTGCAGCTAGCCGTAAGAAATAAGGGGGGAGATCGTCCGGACCTGCTGATTTGTTGGCGTCTAGGCCCTTTAGAGCCTTACAAACCTCCCCAACATTGAAGGGGTTGAAGGAGAAAGTGTGGCTACTAGTGGCATGACTGGTGGGGATGGAGGGAGATGATTTACCAAAAGATAAGAGGTCAATTGTGTACTTTTACTCCAATACAAGTATTTAATACCTTTTAGTTACTTTGCAGATTTTGATTATTGATTTAAAACATAATCAACGATTAAATAAGACTTTAGTTACACCTGGAGTAAATTCACAAACTATAAAATAATACAAAGTAGTTCCACCTTTACTAGCTTTGATAACAATGTAATGCATCAGTAATTATAATTAATATTCAGTATATTCTGATGCTAATACTTTTGTTCTTTTACTTTAACAGGCAGGCAAAATGGATGTTAATATCCAAAAGTTCCCCATTAAACACAGACCTAACATAAACCTTCCTGACTGATCACAACTCTATTCTTTACATTACATGTCATTTGTTAGACGCCTTTATCCAAAGTGACTTACATACATTCACTACTGTGGACAATCCCCACAGGAGTAATATGGGGTGACGGGTCTTGCCCAGGGACACAACGACATGCTGACTGCAGTGGGACTCGAACATGCTATCCCCTGTTTCGAAGTCCAGCACACTATCCACTGAGCCACAGCCTCCCATCCTCTTATTCTAAATCCTCTTTCCTGATGATCGATGAAGATCCTTTTATTTTGTCAGTTCAAGTCTGATTTCTTTTTGCATCACAGCAGCTCCATTTTTAACATCAACGACAAACCTTGAGACAAGAAACAATGGAATAACATTCAACATTAAAATCCCTATGATGCCCTCTCTCTCATCAGGTGATGGCTAATCCCAGAGTATCTTCCATCGATGGGAAGTTGGCAGAAGAATTTGCCGTCCCCTGCCATGTTGATGAGGTTAAAGAGAAGATGGCTGCTTTCGCCAGTCTACACGCTGCAGCGGGTCGCAGAGTGGTTCTCATCACATCAGGAGGAACCAAAGTTCCCCTAGAGTCCCGCACCGTCCGCTTCCTAGATAACTTCAGCAGTGGCAGGCGAGGAGCCTCTTCAGCGGAGTATTTCATGGACTCAGGCTACGCAGTCATCTTCCTGCACAGGCATCGCTCCCTCTACCCCTACACACGGGTGTTCTCTACCATTAACATGCTGGATGCCCTGATGTTCAGAGGGGAAGAAGAAGCTTCCTCTGGTGAAGTGGTGGTTAACCAGCAGGTGCTTCCCAACATTGCCAAAGCACTGAAGAGATACCAGGAAGTGAAAGAAGGCAACCTCCTTCTGCCAATCGAGTTCAGCACTCTATCAGAGTATCTGCATCTTCTTAAAGCAGCAGCACAGGCACTCAGCGCTATAGGTACAGATTAACAACTTACTACAGGTTGAATGTGTGGCTTTTGTCAAGCGTATTGCTCATAACTTCCTATTCTGCACATAGGACCAATGGCCATGTTTTACTTGGCTGCAGCTGTGTCAGATTTCTATATCCCAGCATCTGAGATGCCCGAACACAAAATCCAGTCTTCCAATGGACCTCTTCAAGTAGGTGAAAAAACATTCAAAACTTTGTTTCCAGCCTTGCAAGAATCACGACTCAAGGGGTGACAATGTCCGTCTGTAAATTAAGCTCCAATCCTCTCTGTGGCTAAGCACAGCCTAAAAGAGCTGCTAGCATGGTTGTCCTGTGACATTCTTTAAGAATAACCCCCCAAAATAAGTCTCTGAAGTAAATAGAATGGCATGTATCAACAGAAAATCTTGCATTGTTGTGGATGTGTTTTAAAATAGTATGTTTGTAAAGTTGTGTGCATATGACTAGATCAATGATTTGGATGCAAGACTTGAGTTTGTTAACAGATGTTTTTATATAGTTTTGCTGTTGCTAAAAACATCCTGGTTCATCCACACTTTTTTTTTTTAAATCAAGAATACAAGATAGCACAAGGTTACCTTTGTGTGTGAAGTATTCCTTTACCTGGTTGTTAATGGCAATATACTTTTTCTTTCTCCCCTTCAGCTCAGTTTGAACATGGTACCTAAGATACTGTCCCCGCTAGTGAAAGACTGGGCCCCTCAGGCTTTTGTCATTTCTTTTAAGCTGGAGACAGATGCATCCATCCTGCTGGACAAGGCTCGCCGGGCTCTGGACACCTACAGGCATCAGGCGGTGGTGGCCAACGTGCTGGACTCCAGACGGGGCTATGTGGTGGTGGTGACCCCCGAGACCCAGGCTGAGCTGATCATCTCAGAGGAAGATGCCAAGAATGAGGTGGAGATAGAGGAGAGGATAGTGAGCAACCTGACGTCAGCTCACGACAAGTTCATAACTCAACAAGGGGGCTGACAGAAATCATCCATACTGCACGCCTGAGTCATGAGTTGTTGTCTGTGCGCTCACTCGTTCCTGAGCTCGGCTTGAATAAATACTTTAATCATATTGATAATATAACCTTGGTAATAACTTTAAACACATCCTGCCTTCCCATGACCTTTCTAATGTACTCTAAAAAACATCATCCAAGCTTTGATTACTGTTTCTGTACAATGACAAAATACAAGTTAATGAAAGTTTATTAAATGTTTATTCACATTGTGCAATGAACTAGAAACAAAGTAATGTTATTGCCTTTTCTACACAAGGGACTGACGGTTGAATAATTCAGTGACATGCTTTACTACAAATCTATAATAAAAATCAACAAGTTTAATCCATTGGTATTTTTTTCAACCCCCTGGCTCCACGTATTGGACTCTTGTTTGGTTACTTAAGTTTGACGCTCTTCTTGACGCCAGCACGAATACCAGAGCGCTCTCCACTGTATCTCGTCTCCTCCCGACGAACCTCTCGGACCTGGGGAAATTGAACGACCTTGTCAACTGCTGAACTTGTTTTTCAACATAAACTGGATTCAAACTGATGAGCCTGCAGTCCTCAGAAGCTTCATGATGCACTGAAACAGTGTAATACAAATGTTCTCATCAATGTATGGAATACAAACCTGGCCCTTTCTGCGGATCTTGGCCCGTCTGAACTTCTCTCTGTGCTTGACTCTGGGATTACGGTCAATCTTCTTCCTCTTTGGTGTGAGCCCCTTGTTCTTCGACATCTGTGAAATTGGAAGAGTTACATAATTAGAATAACTGAACAGAAATGACAGTTTAAAGTGGCAACAGACAACTTCTCCCCCGTAAAACTTCAAAAAGGGTACTATTGTTGCGCCACTGTCGCAAAGACAACCAAAATCCCTTTCCACTCAAACACACTGCGTTCAGTTGTTCACAACTTTGTGCTGTAAATAAAGCTTTCCCAGGAGATTGTACCTGGTGTCACTGTTTTATAGCTTTCAATTATGCAATCTAATTTCATAATGATAAGTTCAAGTAACTCAAAATGAAATGCATTAAGTGATCACGGAGTAAGGGGCACCAAATATTAAAAAAAACGTTTTATAAGCAACTCTGATGTACTTGTACCAAAGATCTATAAAAACACACATTTTACCCTCTTTAGTTTTTCTTCAAAAACTGAGAATGAAATTGTCTACATAGAGACAAGACATGCACTGCCGTAGCAGTAAAACTACATACGATTTATTTGATGTAAACATGTAAAAAAATGTATTCAGCTTTGTTATTCAAGCATTAAAAAAAGTCCAACTTCCAGGAGTATAACTTGCATTTATGTCTAAGTAACTGTCAGGATCCATTTGCCTACTCGGAAATGACCACCTGCTCTGAAGGTGTTCTGATAGTTCTGTTATATTATTACTATGAACTTCCAGGTGAGAGTGTCTGACTAGCTATTAATACTTCAGAGTGCTAGTGGTCGTAACACTGTACCTGGTAAGTAATGCCTCTCTTAGCATCTGGATCTTCCTCCATATATTTCTTCTCCTCCAACCTGCAACAAATTCACATTGATCAGATACAGAGTTGATCTTGTCCAAACAGCCATTTTAAAGACTCAAATCAAACTTACTCTTCTGTTTCTGGTTCTTCGACCTTTCTCTTCAATTTCAAACGCTCCTCCGCATCTCTGTAGAAACGCAGAGCCGCTTCCTCGTCCATATCAGAGTCAGAGTCATCCTCCACCCCAGGCATAGGCTCTTCAGAATCCTGCAAACAACGTGTTCTCAATACCATTCAATAGTCATACAAAACATCAGCAGTGGATCTACATCGAGGATGCCCTTCAGTTTATGCAATAGTGTTACAAAACGAACACAAAAATCTCACCATTCCCTTCTTATTGGAGACTTTGGCCTTCTTGCCCTGTGCAGGTTTGCTGGATTTATCTTTCTCCTCCCCAGCTAGCAGCTTGCGAAACTGCGGTGCAAGCCGAGCATCCACTGAACTGAGTTCATTGATGAGCTGCAGGAAGGTATTCAAGCGTTATACACAGGGTTCTAATAGTCATTTCTGGCATTTTCAAACGACAGTAGCATCAAAACATGAATGACACACTAAAGGAAGCTGCTCTAGATAGATCGGTCGGTAGATAGGTAGGTAGGTCAGTAGGTAGGTCAGTAGGTAGGTAGATACTTTATTGATCCCAATTTGGGAAATGTTTGCATTGCAGCAGCATAAAAACACAAGGAAATGTACATAAGAGAAACTAAGACAGTCCAATATATTTCAGAAATAGAAATAAAATAGCATTAAAAAGTTAAAAGATAAAAAAAGATATACACGTGGAAAATATACAAAAATACATGTGAAAATACAAAATTCCAATAACAAATATAATGTAAATATAATGCTCTATAAAGTAAAAGAGAACATGTACAGTTTCCTTGACATATAGAATGAAAACACAATCGCTAATACTACTTTAATAATGCTATGTTCCCCTGGCAACAGGTGTCACTGTGTGCACTCACATTTCTGAAGATGAGCAGTCTTTCAATCACAGGATGGTTATGAGCAGGGATTCGCTTTGCTTTCAGCACCATGTAGAAACTGATGTTCGTGCAGTAACTGCAGCAGGAAAGAATAATTAGCCACTAATTAAAAAACTTTGACATTATCTAACAACAAGCAATAATAACTAACTTGAGATACAGCTGCTGTTTTGTCTTGAGGTAGTCAGCACCCTTTGGAAAAAAGCACAACAATTGGTTAGGAATTGATTGCCTGAGCTACATGACAGTATTATTATGTAGTTTGGTACTTCTGAATACATATGGACATTAGAAGCTTACAAAACAGACACCAATCATCATAAAATATAACAGTAGCCATCCCATCTAATGATCAATCCAGTTACAGCTATTTAAAGAACCTAATCAGAGCAACGGTTGATTTCAATGTGGATTCTCATACAGCCAAATGTTAATGTGCTCACCTTTCCTGGGGGGATCTTTCCATCCTTGACCATCTGTACAAGAGGCTGCAGCTCGTCTTTCAGCTCATTTAGCTGCACACATACAAAATACTTCACATCAATAACATGTTGGATTGTGGTAACTATGCAAGTATCTTTTGGCTTATTAAAGCTCAGGTTTTTGTTGGGAAAATAATGAATGTACTCTTTGAATATTAGAGTAGCACATGATAACAAAGGCCCTATGTAGCTATGTACGTAACAGGATGTATGATTACATAGATGACGCTCATGAGACACTGTTTTACATACGATAGCTATGTTCCTACGATTAACATGATGACACAGCCCCTAGGGAGATAGGCATATGACTCATGTGTATTGCTTACTGAGGCCTTAGATAAATCAGAACTAATGCCAGAATACTGCTTTGAACCGGTATTCTGCATCTTGTGACTAATGGCGAATTTCCACTACAGCGCGGAGCGCGGTTTAAGCGTGCCGTGCCTGGCTCGTTTTTGGTTGCGTTCCGGCTAGCGGGTACTTTTTCAGAGTTTTTCTGGCTCTCCAAAATCGAGGTTCTTTCCGGGCCAACAACCGGGCTGAGTATGCTAAACTAGTGAGAGAATTGCTGGCAACAACAACAAAATGAACATATTTGACCGTGATTTAATTGTAATACACGTTTCAAAATGATGCCGAAGTAACAACATACTGATACCGGTTAGTAAAAACCATGAATTAAAGCTTTGACAAGTCTGCAGACAGACGGCAGGCGAAAAACCTTTTAAAATGCGTGTTTTCTGAATGAAGATCGGCTAACGCAGTATATGCTCCGACCGTCCACACTCACGACAACGGCTTATACAGACATAAATAAACCAGCGACTGTATTCTCCATGACACAGACAGTCTGTGGTTTGTACTTGTTTAACTTTTGTCTAGTTTCTGAACAGATATGAGGAGCTGTGAGCTTGAGTGCTAACAGCTAACGGCTGATGTTGGTTTTGTGTTTCGCGTGGAAGATGACGTCACGGCTCCGCCTACACTGCGTTACTATAGTTACTACCCCAGTTCCTAAACTGTAATGGAAACGCAGCATAAAGTGAGCCTGGCCTACCAAGGCCTAACTATACCGTACTAAGCCGTGCGAGGCCCTGCAGTGGAAATACGCCATAACACTCTCTTGTATATAAGCACGTCAAGGACACTGTTTGGGGAACTATTTTGTCCCATGCAGCTTTGTGATCACTACTTCCTTTTTTGCAGGATAATAAATACATGTGTCTTGATATTGAAGATCAAGCCGGTGACGAGTGATATTTCTCTAACAGTTTTTAACACATTGGTTTTGGTTGAATGCCTGTGTTTTACCTTTGCTTTGAAATCCTGAATAAGTTCAAGCAGCTCTGGTGACTCCTTTTTCAAAAGTTTCATTTTCTCTTTCTGGGACATTTGCTTCAGATCTTTGACAATCCTTTCTTGTTTTCCCGCAGTCTTGTCATCATCCTTCTCCTCCACAGCAAATTCCTTCATTTAGACAAATCAAACAATCACAATTAAAAACATTTTCTATCATTACATTTTCATTTACCAAAATGGTGTACCAAAGAGAATAACAAAATACCTGGAAGAAGTTTAAATCATAATCCTCCTCGCTCAGATTTGCAGCTAAACGTTTTTGGATATTTTTAGCTTCTTCTTCTTCCTCTTTTTCCTCAGCTTCCAGCTCATCCTGCTTTTTACCCTCTGTAATAACACAAATACATTTCTTTCAATATTAGCCATTTAGAAAACCAGAATTACCCGGATAATATTGGTGGGGATAAAAGATGCTTACTGGTGGCCCCATAGTCAGAGTCATAGAACATCTTCTTCTTGGTGCCCCATGCCATTTCATTAGGAAGATCTGAGGAAGACAGCAAGGTTACAGTTAAATATGCTTGTTTATATACAGTAAGGCAAAACCCTTCGCAAAAAAAGATAGATTGTATGTTTACCGTCTTCTTTTTTCTCCTCTAGATCACTTTCCATATCTGTCCCCTCCTCTTCCTCTTCTCCCTCCTCATCATCTGACTCTGAATCATCCAGAGCCATCACTTCCTCCTGTGAAATTCAGATGAGCTTGAATTGGTTCTTGATTTACATTTATTTAATGAATATAAATCCCAGCAAACACATAAGTCACTACCTCCTCATCAATTTCCTCCTGGTCGCTCTCCATTTGAACACCGCTGGCCAGAAGTTTCTGTGACAAAGAAAAAACGCAGCAAAACAAATATATATAAGAGAACGTAAACACAGCAACATCCACATACTGAAGAACTACTAATGAGGAGGACTTACTGCAATCTTGTCATCATGAAACTCATCAATTTTGTCCTTTGCGTACTGTGAGGATTTCTGAAAGGAAGAGGGAAGACATTCAAATATGACGTTAAAATAATCTACAACACCAAAACAGAGTTGATGTAGGAAAGTTTGTTGATGGTTAAGAGAAGGGATGGGTACCGAGCCCCGGTATTAAAGGGACCTCGGGGCTGAATTATTAAAGACCGTGGTACCGTTAAGCTCCGACGTTATCGGTCTTTTTATAGGTACTGGAGACATGTAAAAAATATATGTCATATGTATTGTGCTACACAAACATTATATTGCAGTTTTAGTGTCGCCAACTCTGTTTCTAATACGCAAAAAGACTGTCAAATGTGCCTATGATTATTTTTAGTATTTTCGATCTTTCCAATACAGACGAGATCTTTCTCTCCCGTCTGTGTGCGAGGGGGCGGGGCAGCTTACACACACGTGGCTGCTACATGCAGCAACACACACACACGGCGGAGACGGCGGAGAAAGCGCTCCAAGGTGTGGTTAAACTTTACCCGTCTCGATGTGGACAATGCTCGTTGCCAATAGTGCAATAAGAGTTTAGCATGTAAGGGCGGTAACACGAGCAATTTCTCTAAACATTTAGCAAAAGTGCCCCACATTCAGACG